TATGATTTGCTCACAGCCCTCCAGTCTAGAGTCGAATGGCTGAACCATAAGTTTTTGCTCCTGCCCTAAAAGGGAGGTAGTGATAATGGGAGACCCAGTTATTAGAGGTTTAGCCAGGGTAGTGTGGGCAAACAATAGCCAGTCTCACACAGTATGTTGCTTGTATCGTGCCCAGGTTTCTGACCTCCCTGAGCAAGTGGATGGGCTCCTCACCTGAGCTGAGAAGGATCTGGTTGTCATGGTCCATGCATCCACTGAGATCAACACTGATTGTCTTTCATGAACCCGAAAGTGACTGATAAAACCAATTCTCAAACTCTGGTAGTTTGAGCTGTTGATATCTTGGAAACCATCTTTTGGGGTACAGTGCAGTTTGGTTAAGGTGGGCTGTCTTCAAAGAAACAAATCAAAGGAGAGCTCTCTACAATAGAAAGCTAATAAAACCGTATACTGAGGTACAGAGCAGCTGAAACAAAATATTGTAAACAGAGAGCAACAGTAAAATATATTGTACTCCAAAGTATTTTTGTTATACAACAGTAAAATATCTGTAAAATGCAGATGTACCATAGTTTACTACAGATTTTAGGATTCTAGAAGATGATAAGGTAATAAACATGCTAAATGAATATTTCATGTGGGGTTTTACAACAGAATATGTCAATAATAGGACATACATCATGCAAAAGAGATCCATTGGTATCAGGTAATTTTAGGATAATTGACACTGATGTTTGATATGGGCTACAGTTACTTCAAATAACTGTATATACTGTATAAACTCTCACTAAGGGTGAGAACTATACCCACCAATTGGAGAATTGCAAACTAAAACCAGTTCATAAAAAAGGGAAACAAAAATTATGTAGGGGACTAGAGACTAATCAGTCTTGTTTATTTGTCTGTTAAAGCTCAGCTTTATATCCACAGCCTTTCCTGATCCATCTCAACAAATTAAAGTCTGACAGAGTTAGCAAAGAAGTTACATTTGCTAAAAAAAAAAGGTGTAGCAACCACAGAAACAAAAGAATAGAAATGAAGAGGCTTGGACAAAATCCACAAACTGGGAAGACATTTAGCAAATGAAATTGAACATTGGTAAGTGTAAAGTGATCCATACAAAAACACATAGTAGGAACAAACACAACACATAATACACAGCTCAGTCTGAGATGCAGAAAAGTACACATGAAGGAAATATGGATGTCTAGGTAGAATCTTATAGGCTATCCTCTTGATGATGTGGAGATGCAATAGGAAAATCAATAATATTACTTGGTTATTCACCCAGTAGTGTAGCATATTAAATCAAGGGATGTTATGCTCAAGCTTTACAACGTAATACTGTAGTAAGAACTCATTTAGAATTTTATTAAGTTCTTATCATCAAACAAAAAGGGTATTTTACCTTTAGAAAATGTTGAAAGAGTAGCAACAAGAATGACTCCCGGTTTAAGGGGATTATCAGAAAGACTAAAGGAGATAAAGCTTTTCTGTTTAGAGAAAAGGAGATTAAAGAGAGACTTTGTCCAAATATATAAAATCCTCAATCTCATCTGGGCTTCGGGTATTCAAACTGTTTGGACCAAGGCAGAAAAAATTACCCTTACTGCTCCCCAAATGTACAAATGTTCAAGCAATGTTTGACAGTAGCTAGAGAAAAGATTATTCTCTCTCAGATGTTTACAAACTGCACCTGACCTAGAAACTGTCAGTCCTTTTTCAGTACAAGCACTGAGCAGTGGCTTGTGGTGAAGACCTGTGCATTAAAAGCAAGGTAAGTCAACAAACTCATTTCCTCTTTGATAAAGATCCTGTTTGAATATGTGTAGCCTCGGAAAATGTTTTACTTTTACTAAATTAAACAGTATTTTTAACAGCTGTGTTTCTATTTCTTCTGAACCAGTAAAGTCAAAGAAGTGGTTATGATAATATATAAATGACTACTACTCCACAAAATAAAGCACTGCTAACATAGCAAAAAACTATGTGTACCCTGCTGTGAAAATATATACAATTATGTGAAAGGCTACACAAGCACTCAGATTGATTTGCAAATATATATACTGTATAAACATATGTGATTTTTTTTCTTTTTTTTTTACTTCCAGGTTTGATTTACATTTAGTTACTGTTAAAGGGTTTCCAATCTATATAGTAACTCTCGTGTTTGGACAGCTTCACCTAGTGGTGAATGTGTGAAGTCCACCCTTGCAATACATTCTACACAAAAATAAATAGAATTATGCTGAGATATGAATGCTTTCATGGCAACACTGATCATAATACATTGAAAATATTAAAATACAACAAATAAATATAATTCCAACTGATTTTGTTGTGTTTTTACTGCTTCTGGTTTATCACAACACAAATGGCTTTGGTGCTAATGTTGAGGAAAATATTTTGAAAATAATTACACAATTCCGTAATTAGTTCTGTTAATAGTAAACATAAACAGAGGCTGATTTTAGATTTTGTACATAGATTTATTAAATCAATTGGGACAAGCCACACAAGACTAAACTGTAGAGAAAACTAAACTCCTGTTTAAACCAGTGAAAGTGAACCAATTCTAGAACAATTTGCAAAGCTAAAGAGGAAAGACAAGGTATTAAAATATTCAAATCAGAAACGTCTGCCTCATATAAAGAGCAACAAGCAAAACCTACACTTGTTGTGGCTTACTTAAATAGACAGAAAAAAGTATTGTAAATATCTAAAACCTACACTTTTGGTATAAATGACACCACCCCACTATGGTCTATTCTGCCTCTCAAAAGTAACTCTTAAGTTTATCTCTGTTTCTTGTCTTTTCACAAAGCCAAACTACTCTAAGAATGAAAAATACAAATTGCTAATAGTGTAATTGCCATATTCTGTTGTTGAGACACAGTGTTGACTTTGTAGCAGCATCAAAATGGGGGAATCATACACATTTCAAAACACCATTTTTGAAGTAGTTTAAGGAGGTGGCTGCATCAGCACACGTAGGCTGCAAAAGAGCAAGTTAAACATTTATTCCATGCTGAAAAGAGAAGGAAAGAAACACAACGTTTCGGCTATGGAGTGTGAGAAGGCTCACACCCGAAGAAGGCTCCACAGCTGAAACGTTATGTTGCTTTTTTTCCTCTTTTCAGCATGGAACAAACCATTTTTAAGGTTTGTTTCAGGATGAACCTGACAGCAATGGGCACATTGAGATGTAAACATTCCTTATTAGACTTGTTCGGCCTGATATAATACATACTCCCACTTTGCATCTTTGTTTAGGTAATTACACATCTTGTTTTGCAAGACTACTGCTATTTTAACCCTTTCCAAACCATTCCATTATGTATAAGGTCCCTGCAAGGGGTATTCAAGTCTCCTACTGGAAACCTAATACTGCATGCAGCTGCTTTGAAAAACAGGTTCTCTCTAGTGAGATGAAATTACAAAGTGCAAAGCAGTAAGAAAACCCAGTTATTCGGTCATAGCATGTAATACTAAATATAAACCTTATTTAAACAATATTTGCACTTATTACCTTGAGAGTCTGACTGTTGTGCACATATTGAGTCAGGCATACTGTCCATTGCTTGGAAAGGAACCATGGACAACTGCAAAAATTATAAAAAAACTCTAACTTCTGAAAACATACAGTATATGCTCACAACAACCAAAGGGGAAAACTATTTTAAAATATCTTAGAGCACAAATTTAACTCTGTAAAGACAGAGTAAAGACGCCAAAATGGACACTTAGCAAACATAAGTGCCTGTCACTTGTTGTATTACTGTCGGACTAGGTACTTAAATGGACTCCAAAGGTCAACAAATGACAATAGATTAAATTATCAAATTCCAGAGCGCAAACCTGTGGATTACTGGAGATATAGACGTTAACAGAAAAAAACTATTCATGTAGCGGGTCATTAAAGGGTTAAGGGCTCACATAAATAATGACACATACAGATAAATGTTACAAAATATACTTTTCTTCATAAAATCTTCAATAATTATGTGCTGGAATTCAATATCCTTGTAGTGCAAAGCCTTAGCCACCCCTTCTACCTTCCCACAGTCCTCCGCGGCAGAGAGCGACGGTCAGGCTGTGGGATGACGTGTCTGGATCTGAAAGTGGGTTATCGCCAGCTTTCCCCATGTCACCGTCCTGCGCAGGAACGTTGATTTATTCAGTGTGACAGATATACCTCATTTTTTACTTATGTAAATATTGTTTATTTTGACGTGATTTAGCTGACACTAAAAGAAAAGAAAATGTGCATCTTGTATAATAGCCCTCCAGTTGTGAGACTTCTCTTTCTTCTGCTGACTGGAAGCTTGCACATCGCTTCGAGTTTTTATCTTCCGGGTTTGGCTCCTGTCAGTTTCTGTGAAAAAGATCAAGCTGCGAAAGACCAAGAAACACCGGACTGCCGGGTAATTATCACCCAAATACACCAGGGCTTTTGTGTTACTTTTCTAAAACTATTGAGCGCGAAGTAAACATTGCCTGAACTGCCTGTCTCTTTATGGGGCTACAACAGGAAGGCCCGAGAGACCAGTTATATTAATCCCACGATATAACATATCATTTGTGGGCTCCGCATCAAATTGCATGTTCGACATTGTTAGTAATCGGATGTTAACACTGCTATTGCACTGCTATTATTCCGATGTCTGCTACACATAGCTAATCCGCACTCCAGACTGAAATACTGCACGTTAAAGATATGTGTCAATCTTTAACAGACATTATTTACATTCATCACTTAAACGGATCCGGAGTGCTGCTAGTTACTGTAGCTAAGCTTTCACTGTAAATGATTTCATTTATTGCTTGTGAGCCACATAGGTCAGATCATGAAACGAATCATTCTGTAAGAGTAAATACCGAACGTGACACACACGCATAGGATCTAGTGTCTGTTCGCTTTATCCCACACAACTGCATGATGTAGCACTGCCTTAATTATATAACTCAAACGGATGGTTCTGGACAAGCAAAAGGTCATTTAAACGTCACCAGTCATATGCGGTTATGATACAGCTCACTGAGGTCACAAAATAATAAGTGGGTTGACAGTGACACCTGTGAGTTTAATAATGTCCCGCTGTATAGATCATAGTCTGATTTCATGCTCCATTAATTTTCTGCACGGAGTTAAATGTATTGTTTCGATGCATCTGCAAAAGAATGGACAATCCTGTTTAGTTCTGCAGGGCCTGTGTATCCACAATGACAAAAAATCCATTTTTTTTCCTCACACTGCCAAATTGTGTTATTAAATGTAATATCCTCTAGATCTAGCTAATGGAACTTCATATATTATTACTAAATCACTATCATGAATAACAGGATCTGGGACAAAAATGGGGCTTTTGTTTGCATTTCAGATGCCAGAGTTTTAAGTAAGTGCTTCAAATCATACAATCTTATGTAGCAGGTCATATATAACCTTCTTTATGAATAGCAAGCTATGATCCATAAAAAATAATACAGTTAATTGTTTGGTCAGACAAAACAATCGCTGCTGCTGTACACTCATAATGGTAAGTCTTTGCTTTACCTTATTATAAGTAGAAGTTCCAATAGCACATCACACCATAACACAACACAACACAGAAGTCTTCTCATTACCTATCTTAATGTTTGCGTTATATAAATATAAAAAATATAACTTTTTATATTTAATTTGTCCCCATATTACATTGCTATTTTAAATATGTTTGCAATGCCGTATGCAGATGATGGTTTATTTAACAGTTAAACCATCAAATATCATGTGGTTTGTGAACATTATCAATATATTCTAAAAACTTTAGCTCTGTAGTCGAATCGTACAGATTTTTTGTATTAATATTAAGAATACAAGAGCAGACTCTTTAGTCTTTATCCGAGTGTTTTATGTTATCTTTCTTTTCAATCAGTCAATGAAAATGAAAAACAAAATCTCTCTGGAGTTTGATGAGTGTAATGTTAAGTTTTCCCTTTTTTAACAACAGCCCCAGTTGTACATTATGTTTTCAGGTTTTTTCATCATATGTACTTGAATACAATGAAAAACTTGCCTGTTACCTCACATAACAAATGATACAACAAACGACAAATTGTTGGATACAAGAACATAAGACAATAGCATGTGTGCCAACAATGTAGTGGAATACAATAGTAGCAAGTAGCAGCAGTATACGTGAGTTTACTATGGAATACAGTAGCAGCAGTATATGAGTGACTTATGTGAGTTCAGTGCAAAAGCAGTGGGGTGTAAACTGGGGGAAGAAGTTTAGAGAATGCTGATACTTTAAAATAACTGCTTTGTTACAGGCCTATGATTTCTGTCAAATGCATTTCTAATTGGATCGGGTTAATAGTCTTAACATGTCGTAGTATTCATAGATGTAAATCTTCTTTAAAATGTCTTAATAACCTTTAATTGCTTTATTCTGAATGTTATTGTTTGTCTTCCTAGTCTGAAATCGAGCTGTTTGTGAACAGATTGGATTCTGTGGAGTCTGTCCTGCCCTACGAATACACAGCGTGAGTTACAACTAACATACTGGTTTTTTTTTCTTTAGTTTCTAAGTAAATGCAAAGAGCTCTAACTTTTCTGTCATGACAAGAAACAATGTAAAGAAGCAAAAATACCTGTTTTGCAGACCAAGTACTTAGGAAGCACATGCAGAGATAAGGAGAGGTTTCAAGTCTTAAAATCTATACCTTAAAGGAGTAGTGTGGTGCATACCGTAAATGTACCATCTGTGATTTTTCTAATTTCTTACTGAAGTGCTTCCTTGTGAGTTTTCAATAATTACCTTGGTTAGCTTGTATCTGATGATACAGGTCACATACATACAATGATGTGTTTAAGCATATTTTGGCCTGGTATCGAAGCAGTGTTAACATTCATTTTATCAACTTCTTGAGTCAGATGTACAACATTATAAAGCCAAGTTTACCAACGTAAGATAAAAAGAGGCTCCATGTATAAAGCTGTTTGCAAACAATGCAATGCTTCACCAGAGTTAATGTGCAATAGATAGTGCAGTCTAAAACTAGAGGCAAAGAAATTAACATGCACTTTGAATTCAGGGAAGCAACAGGGAAGTTATTTATAATTAAAGCCAAATTATAAGTATAATTTACATGAAAAAACAAAATTATACATTATATACCAAGATGTGCAGTGCTGATGACAAATTGTAGGTGTCAAAGCAGACAAGGTGTAGGAATTTCAGGCATAATCTGAAAAGGTGGGCTTTATAAAAAGGCACTGAAAAGCACTGTCCACCGACAGTTGTGTCCATCACACAGGTGTTGGACAAGAGAAAGCCCCATGACAGGGAAAGGAAACAGTAGTAGTAACTGAATGAGCCTAATAGTAGCTGAATGAATGGAGATGATAATTCATCGATAATAATGGACAGGGCAGGAGACAGGAGAGGGCAAAGCGATGGAGAGATAGATAAGAACAGGAATCTCGAGCTAAGTGTATGTAGAGAGATGCTACCTGTGGAGAATCCATGTATAGGAGTCATATGGAATAAAAGAGACAGGGAGGGATACAGGGCAAGAGAAGAGATTTGGATGAGCTGGAGAAATAGGATTGCTGGTACAAGGAGGCTAATGCATATGGAAGTTGCAGCCACCATTTTTAGAACCAGTACCTAAAATAGGAGATGAGCATGGTAGGTTGTTGGGAAAAGTCAAAGGATGTATTCTATAACTATTTAGAGAGATGTAGCAGGAATGTGGCCGAGGGAAGATGTGCAGGGAATTAGAGAGGGAGGAGTCAAAAACCATGAGTGGGTTCTTGACAGAATTAGAAGAGGGTGGTAGAATTAAGGGAAATAGATCGGAAGAAAATCGCAGAGCAACACACATTGAGAATAGCTGAGTTTGAGGTGATGTATTGAAATCTAGGATAAGGCAGCTGAGAGGATGTTAAATGGCTATGAGGAAATGAAAAGAGCTACAATAGGGAAGCTGGATCCTGGGAACTATTGTAGACAAAGTAAGGTGCTATCTGAGAAACAGAGCCAAGCCAGGGCAGCACCAAAAATTCCAACGTTGAGTGGAGAAGGAGCAAGTGTGGTTGGCAGTATCAGATGCTGCTGGAAGGTCAAGAAGAATTAGAAAAGAGTGAAGCAGCGAATTAGAAGCTAGAGTGTAACATAATTTCTGTGAAATGCGCTGGATGGAGACCAGACTGTAATGGGTAAAGCAGGGAGTGTTTATTGAGTGAACTGGTTTGTTGACACTGAGCCACTAACTCAAGAGCTTTAGAGATTAGAAGTAAGGAGACAGGTGGATGAGATTAGGAGAAAGCCTTTTGAGAATGGAAGAGGAGTTTTCACAAGGAAAACCAGTGTAATGTGTCATACAAAATATTAAAGTGGAGAGGCTGTTGTGAAAGACATGGTATGGGAGAAGGTGCAGTTGACTGTTGACCTGTGATTCTGGAGCTATTAGCAAATATCTGAGCTGGGTGGGGAGCTGAAAGAAAAGAATGAGGGACAAAGACAAATTGAGCAACGGAAGGAAGTTAGTAAGCGTTTACTTTGTTAGGGTAGAGGAAGGTGGTGAAGGAATGACAGAAGAAAATGGTGGGGCGAAGGAAGATGGAGGGGTGGGAGAAGTTAGAGAAATAAAGGTGGTGGGCATCATCAGAGAAAAACTGATGGAGCAAAGGCAAGATCAGGTGCAACGGGAGAAAAGTCTACAACTTAGTTCTAAATTCAGTAGCATTTTTTGAGTTTCTCCCTTTTTCTCTCACTTGACCATGGTGTTTTTCATTCTGAGTGAAGAGGACAAGAGAAGCAGGTTTGAGATAGACTGGAATAAATAGACTGATGTGTGTGAACAGTAAAGGAAGATACAGTATAGAGCCTACAGAACTAGTTGAGAGCTAAGAGATTGAGTTGATGGATAGCGTTGAGCAGGTAGGAGAAGAAAGCAAATATGTAGAGCAAAAGGGAGCTGATAACTTAGGGCAACAGTAAATAATAATAATAATAATAATAAAGGGAATGTAGTGAGGTTATTGAGAGGGAGGAAGGAGAGCAATTCCTGGAGAAGATGAGGTCTTACTGTCATTCCAGCCCTGTGAGTGGGAGATGAGAGAGGAAACCAGCAGAATGGTTATCGTTGTGAGTGTTGATAAAGACTCAGGAGGTAATAGGAATGGAAGTAAGAAATGAAATCAATCTCTTCTAGAGAAAAAGCAAATGGGTGGACCCTGCAGGTGCCCTTTCAAAACAATGGGGACATGTACACAAGGGAGATTTGCGTTTTTGTGTCAGATTGAGGGAAGTGGTAGAGATTTTGAAAAATAAAGTTGTTGCAAAAGCAGGCCATCAGGAACCTGTCTTCTTGCACTGCAGCATCATGGGGCATTCATTGTTTTGTGAAATCACAATTAACTGTGAAACAAAACAATTAAGGCCCTCATATTCAAAGACATTGACAAAATATTAAATGCTTTTTTGCCATGAGCCTTAGACTGAAATAAAAACAAACCCACCTGTCAGTCACAAATTCCACATATGGTGCTTCATCCCAACTTTCTGCTGGGTCGATGTAAAAACTGTGTGCAAACAGAATGGTGATATCTAGTGATGGAACTGGATGAAGGTAGAGCTGGGCGATAATTCGATAACGATAATTATCGCGATATAATTTTTCTCGATATAATTTTAACAAATGTTAGATAAATGTTCGCTATATGTTTATGCTTTGCGCATGATGCGCACAAAATACTGCACGAGGGTGGGTGCGTATTGCAGACTGGGCAGCTAACAGATTTGTTTAATGTTTCTGCTGTTTGGAAAGTGTTGTGTTCTTAAAATAAATAGTTGTTTAATTTACCAATTAACTGTCTGGTTTCTTCAACTTTCACTCGGGAGAAAAAATCTGCCTTTAAACTTGAAAGAAATACTGATTTGACATTTATCGCGATAATTATCTATATCGACTGATATGAACATTTTTATTGTGATAATGTCTTTGGCCATATCGCCCAGCCCTATATGAAGGTATGATTTAATCCAGATATATGGATATCATCAAATGAATCTTGTAAGATTATTCCTATTTCATTACTATTGTATTCTCAGTCTACACACAACATCTATATTTTTGGTTAGGGCAGGCTGTATATAAAACGTACATTAATATTTACTTCAGTTTTTTTGTATAGATTGCCAGGGCACAAAGCCAAGAGTAATTAGCCTGCATCCGATTCGAATTTTACATCTCGCAACAGTTTCAGAGGTATCCTCTGCCTCCTTGACAAAAACATCCTTCCACAAACTGGCAGCTGGATTGACTTATATCTTTTTTTAACACGTCTCTGTTGTGAATTGAAATTCATGAAATTCAAGTTTGTCTTCTTGTATAACGTAAAGGGTCCCACTTAAAAACAAAATTGGATGTTTCAAGGTCACATGCATGGAATCCTGCTAGAACACCATGTTATGCACTAGATAATGGCCCATTGATGGGTACATGACAGAAAAGGTTTTGGAAAATTCAAAGTGACGACCCAGCGTGAATCACGCATCTAAGTCACTTCACAGAAATTTGACCTTTTTCTGTTTGTTAAAAAAGGGAAAAGGGAGGAGGGGGGTCACTGATTTGGAAGGAATATATATAGTAAATGGTACAAAAAAACTCCCAGAAGGCATATCAGGCTAAAAGAATCATGATTATCTAAATAAAGAGTGACTGTTTTTTGTATGTTTGTACCCATGAGGTAAACCAAGAGTGGCTGGTGTTGTAAATATCCAAAATGTACTGTCTTCTTAAAACATTCACTTTTGAATCTTTGAAACTCTTTGACTACACATGTAAATCCTTTCTTTTTTATGCATAGGTTTGATTTCTGCTCTATAGAGACTGAAAAACGGCCTTCTGAGAATTTAGGCCAAGTTTTGTTTGGAGAGAGAATTGAACCATCCCCATATAAGGTGTGTATTAATGTGGAAGAGATTAATCAAAACTTCTGTTCAACATTCGCATATCTCTTTTCACTCATTATTTATAATTGCTTTTCATATTTCTATACATTGTAATATAAATACTATAGAATGTTGCAAGTTACCATGTTGATGTTATTTTTTTTGTGGATCAAAATCCAAAAGATTTTGATTCCGTTCAAAAGACATTTATATCTTTTAAATAACCATCTGCTTTTTCCCTTTGCAGTTACACTTTAAGAAGAATGAAGAATGTAAACATGTATGTACTAAAACTTATGACACAAAGAAACAAGAAGATAAGCAAAAACTGGAATTCTTGAAGAAAGGGATGCTTCTGAATTATCAGCATCATTGGTGAGTTGTGTCAAGAAGAGAAGCCTTCCTGAGTGGTATTTCATTAACATGTAGTGAAACAATCACAAAGTTAATTGATTCCATTGTTCGTGTTTATGTTTGGTTGTTAGGAACATGCAGTTTACATACAAAAAAGCTAAAAAAAATCATATATAATCAATCGAGTAAACTTTATACTTCATAAAGTTTAATCATTTTTATATTTTGGTTTTAACAAAGTTGGCCTAGTGTTAAATGTCTAAATAAGGACCAAATAATCCCATGTTTGCCACTAGAGGGAGTTAGTGATGTTTAAAAAATATGCTTTATTTTATAAGAATTCAGAAATGATCAGGGTTCTCAGTGCAGATGTTTCTTCAACTTCTGTTTTGTTATAAGCTTTGCTTTTTTAAACAATTCAATTTCACCACATACTGACATAAACATACATGGAAAACCACAGTTTACTGCTTGCTTCCTGGTATTTGCTGTCATTTTGCAGTAATGATTTTTGCTTCATTTAATAATATTTATCTTATAAAGTGCCTTACAGGAAGCCATTCAAAAGTATTAAACATCAAAATCAGACACAAACAAAAGACTAAAAAAAGTGCTAGTGTGCATCGTTTTCAGACTGCTTATGATTTTAAATACATTTTTGGCTTTTCACTGGCCAGTTATCATCAGATGAATTTTGCCTCCTCTAGTTCAACATCAAACTTTTAAACTCTGGGATTCTTGTGCATAACACAATCCAGCATCATGGGTGGTGACTGCAAATGGGGACTTAAATCCCACAGGACAACTTTAACTGATCAGCACTTGTGCTTAAAATGAGCATGTGTGTTGGAGCTGACGTGAAGTGTCATTGTGGACAAATTCATAGCGAGCCATTTCTTTTTAATGTGTGTGGAAACGGGAGATACTGCCCATGGCCCACAGTATGATCCTGGGGACAGACAAGAGACCCCCACCAATGGCTCAAAGACTGCATCTGTGTGTATAACTGGAGAAAGCTGTAAGGAAGCTATTCCTTGTAAGTTATAAGTTAGGTTTTAAAGTAAACTCTGAACACAACAGGAAGCCAGTCCCTGATTCAAAACCAGGAGTAATATGGGCATCAGACTGGAAATTAGTTCAGATTCTAGCTGCTTCAACATGCTTCAGTTTGCAGTGCATACTGTATGTCATGCTTTGCTTATGTTAGGCATATGGTTTGAGACCTTCCTTCACTTCATATATATTTCACTTAAAGTGAAATACACAATTACATCTGGGTAGTCATTTACAGTACATTTTGTTTTCTAAAACCATGCAAGCCATCCACAGTTCTACAAAAAAAATACTAACCTGTGAAGTTAATAGGTTGGAAACTTCTTCTGTGACAGAGATGATGGATTCATGGTCAGCTGTCTAGTCAGTTTAGGAGATGTAATTTCGATGCTGTGCCTTATTGGCCTTGAAGACAAGCTGTTCATTGCGTACAGATTACTGAAAGTCTTAGATTTGAAAACAACCCTATGTTCTTCAAAGGTACTTATTGCAGTTCTGCAGGTTTTTTTAGGTATTAATTGTTTTAAGAATTAGTGTACTATGCCTTACATTAATATCATTTAATATAATGAGTGTTATAACAGTTAGTGTTCTGTTTGTTTGTTACGTAAATATAAATGCCAAGGCAAATCCCGTTCTTTTGGGTTTAACTGAGGGGGTGTAACTTTTCCTCTTGTCTTATTATTGTAAGTACTGTATTGTTTGCTGAACTTTACTTGCTCTTCTGGTTGTACAGTGGGATTTTTTTATTCTCTAGAATAAGTCCATCTGTAAACTAGCTCTTCTGCTGTATGTTAGCATTAATGCCTTTAATCACTAGTTTAATGCCTTTTAGTTTTGTGAATACAGAAATGAGCTTGTATTCAGGTATGAATGTTTGGCCACACACTAGGAGCAAATGGCTTCCGTTGTGCTTTGAAGCGATCAGCGACTGCGCTGAAGTGGATTCCACAGGATCTAAATAAGTGAAGTTGATTCACAGCAGAGGTGTCCAATCATGGTCATGGAGAGCTGGTATGTCAATGGGTTCTCTTTCTAACTCATCTCAAAATGAGATACGCCAGCTAGTTACTGGCTTCTCCAAGCTCTTGAACCTCTGATGCTTTAGTGATGCTTTGGAAACCTGCACATATAGCACCCCCTGTAGGACCAAGATGGGGCACTGCTGGTTTACTGAAACTTGTGATCAGTCCACATTTACCTTCTGTACAAGTGCTCAACGTGCTTTATGTCCAGATACTGACCAAGCCCCATGGAGGGATTGTGATGGTCAGTTCTGGATTTGTTTTTGAATCTCTAGTTTGGGGGAACATTATTACTCATAAAATAACTGCCCTTTTATGGCCTGGCGAGTCTTGACAAAATAAAGTATAGGTTCGCCAATGGAGAATCCTGCTACATTTAGCAAAAATGTAAAAAACATCCTTGACGTGTTGAAGATTGCAGCTTCACGTTGTCCCACATCCCTACACAACCACGGCTTGAGATGGTGCACTAGAAGTCATGTGACCATTTAAACCCCAGAGAAACTTTATTATGTTAAGACACTCTGTTGTATTTCTCCGGGCATTGTATTCACTTATTTATGTGTTTGTTTTAATAGTGACCTCTTCTCCAAAGCGTTTTTTCTTTTCTGAAAAACAGTGCCCTAAAATTGTGTCCCAATGAAGTGAAATTCCTGTGTGGTAAATTGTACGGTTGTGCAAGATTGACACTGTCTGTCAGGATGGTATCTCAACTTTGCCTTGAGATAAAACAGGTCTCCAGATCTCAATTGCGCACAGCAGGGGGATGAGTGGTTGTCTCCTAGGGAAGCCGGTGCCAGCTGGCTTCCCACAGATTAGCTGAGTGCTGGCTGCTGGCCCCGGGAGCAGTCATTGATAGGAACTGGCTGTCTGAGAGCTTGCAGCTAACCAGTGACAAACAAGCAGTTGCTTACGAAATGGACTGCGTTTCCAAATAAAAAGAAAGCGAATGAAAGGATTTAAATTGATCTCAGATGTATTAATGCGTATAAGTAAGAAAATGCAGATATCTTTTAAGATTTGTGGAAGTTTAATTGGGTGTGCATGATTTTCTTTTTTTTTTGTGTCTTTGCTCATTAGGGATTCTGTTCAAAATCTGTAGGACCCCTGATTTTCAGTGCTCACAGAGTCACATAGTTAGGAAAGGCAATAGGAATGGAATTGGACTTCCTGACAACTGAATTGTCAGCCAACAGAATTCTGTAAAAAAGACATCGGTCAGTGTCAGTTGTTTTCAGCTAGACCCAGCAAAGTTCAATTCTTGTGACTTTACGTTCGCCTGCTTTTCAGAATTTATGGAAACAGTTCAACTGATCAGCAAAGGCCTGGGCTAAGGCATTCTTTCATAATACTTGAGGATGGCTGGATTCTTGTATTACTAGACTGACTCAGTACTATTAACAGTTACATTGTTGGTCATACACAAAGAGTATAAATATAGAGTAAAGCCAAAATTTAGATGATAGTTGTATGGAATTTTCTGAGGAGCAGTGCCATAGCAAACATCACATTTTACAGAGCTGTGAACCTGTACAAAAAAATCAAGAACAAGTGTGAAAATCTCAGTAAAAAATTAAGTATTCCTGCTACGTTTAATGGCAGAGATGAGAAGATTAGTTCCAAATATATGCGTCTTCTGTTATATTTGCTGTGTATTATTTAAATGCAACTTTAATTAAGATGGATGACAATATCATTGTATTTTATTTGAGCTTTCTATTGTGAAATGCATTTTATCATTAAATTTTAAGTCCATTTAATTCTTCATGTCCAAAATACCAATATTGAAACCGACAGAAAAAAACAAGTAATTTCTCACATCTGTTTTTAAAGATGTTTCTGCTTGCAGTGGCCACTTTCAACAGTGCGACTAACACAACTTTTTTCATATTTGCAGGATTGTTGATAACATGCCTGTGACATGGTGTTATGATGTTGAAGACGGACAGAAATTTTGCAATCCTGGCTTTCCTATTGGATGTTATGTTAACAAAGAGGGTCTGCAAAAGGATGCTTGCGTTATTAATGTTAGTTCTGCAGTACATTTCTTATATTCTTATAGTAACATTCTGAAAATCATTGTTTTCATATTAGCAATTACTGGCTGTTTCCATCTGCTAGAGAACAGTTTACAACATAAATGATAAGCAGTCTTGTGCCAGATTACATATTTGTGGATTTAAAATATTCAAATCCTGTTTCGGTGTTTAAATGTTCTGTTCTCTTTTAATTATCTGAATAAGGATTTTTTTTTTATTAGAAATTCCCATTTTTTTTCCTCATCAGTTTAATCTGGAATCTGCTTTTGTATTTTATATTTGATATCCCTTGGGAACATGGCAAACTTTATTAACACAGCTGAAGAAAGCGGAACACCTTTCTTTAAATGATAAAACTTGTGAATAAGCAGGCAAATAGTTGAAAGAAATACAAATTCTTTGGAACTCATACTATATCTTTAGTTTCTGCTTTGGCAGAGAAATGGTAGGCTAAAGCACTATTTTGATGTTTCAATAATATTTATAGTTTAAAAACATGGTATAAATCAAGTCTTCAGTCACACAATAAATTTTTTTAACCAGTAAACATCCAACATTGCACATCAGCTGGGCTGCAGTTATCCATCGTAGATCTGTGAAATTGTGTAAAAGCTGAAAGCAACCAAATTTAAGATTACTGTTCAATGTAATACTCTGCAATACTGCCATTATGTACTGTATTTTGTACTCATCTTTGCTTTAATTTGCAGGGGGAGTTTAATGAGAAGGACACATTTTACATTTTCAACCATGTAGATATCAAAATATTTTACCATGTTGTTGAGAATGAAGCTGCAGGGGCAAGACTTGTTGCGGCAAAAATGGAACCGAAAAGGTAAAAATATACCTGGAAGAGTTTTTAAGCTGAACTGTTTACTTTTGTAAACTTGAATATTTTACAGTTAGATGCATCTTTTTTACAATCCGATTTAATGAGTGAATTAAATTATTTTTTGTTTTTTTAAGCCATAAACACACCCATATTGACAATCCAGATTGTCCTGATATTCCTATGGACATAAGCAACACATTTTCTGGGGAGCTCAAAATCGCTTATACCTATTCTGTCAAGTTTTTGGTAAGTATTCTGTTATTAAAATGTTTCTTTGGTTAGTCAGATTATCCCTATACATTGTGTTTGTAAAAGAAAGCATAATATGGGGTAATATTTACATTTCAACATAATACGGTATATGGCAGAACAAGAAAAAATTGTTCAAGCATATTTTTGGCATTAAGTCAACTTTTCTACAGACTGATTACACCTTATTTACTGATTTTACTTCATCAAGACAAGATGCACTAATAAAATGGTTTTGTAGTTCAGAGATGAAGAAATATCACAATAGAGATGTGAGAATATTTGTTTGTCTGAAGCAATTGTATTCCTAAATCAGTCAGCAAATTATTTTTTTCAGCAGTAAATTGTATATCCATTAGTTTTATCTTTTAATCTGTTGAGGATCCTCAGGATGTTAATTTGTTTCATTGTTAATGTTTCATTTTAAAAGTAATCTGTCACATGTAATAGAGTCAGTCTGTCAGAGCTGAACTTCTATATTAGGCATAATAATACTTTACTGTACTATTATATCATGTTTCTTTTAATTTCAGAAGGACTTTTAAAATATTTTCAAGGCAGAATATTATTGTAAAGGCACTAATAAAAAGGACAGTATTGTCAAGTATTACACTGGATAGAATTTAACGACTGATACTACCACATGAAAGTGAAACAGAATTTTACTGACACTTGTATGTTACTGTATATCGTAACTCTTGTTTTTATAGGAAGACCCAAACATCCGATGGGCTTCGAGGTGGGATTATATCCTAGAGTCCATGCCACACACCAACATTCAATGGTTTAGGTACGACGTTACCTGTATTGTGAAATTACTTACATTTTGCTGTCCTTAAATATATGCATTGCTTTGACCCTCTCCTCTTCTTTATTTCCCTTGCACAACAGCATCATGAATTCTCTCGTAATTGTGCTGTTTCTTTCTGGTATGGTGGCTATGATCATGCTTCGCACTCTACACAAAGATATTGCCAGATACAATCAGATGGACTCAGTTGTAAGTAAAACTGTATAATTCTTTTTTTTTGTCTGCTAATTAACATATTTAACATTTCTGCTCTCTGACACTTTAATACAGACCTAATAGGTGGAATGTCATGAACAAATACTTTTAATATACTATAATTTTGTTTGTACACTATGTTTGTTTAAAAGATTGCATTGTGTCTACTTTAAATTAAGGGTATCAATTCCCTGCTGAATGTAAATTAGATATTTTCATGTATTAATGGGATATATATGCCAGGTAGCAAATTATTTGTAGAATCACATTTACTTTTTAAACCTTCTCTTAAGACTCAAGCCTTGAACCTACTGCATTCTTTGTGTAATTGGTTTCAGCTTATTTTTTATCATTACATGTGCGTATTATTTTATAAATGCTGGGATCTTGATCTGTCATGCTTGCATTTCCAATGGTGTTTCAAAGGTTGAATCTTGAACCTTTTTTTAAGCCCCAGCAGATGTTAAGATTTTTTAGGTCATGTCAGTGCATCGACATGCTAGGATTAGAGTTTTGGTTGAGTTTTTTCTTATTGTTTTATTCAAAGAAGATGGACTAATTATTTCAACAGTCCTTTCGCCGGCAAACAGGCTGACACTTGGCATTATTGGAGTGATCAGTCAGTGCTGTGCGAAATGGCTGTTACAAGAACTGCTTTAGTTGAAGTATATTAAACGTAATTGGTTACACACCCACAATGCTGCTTGGTAAACCTCTGTGCTGTTTTCCAGGAGGATGCTCAGGAGGAATTTGGTTGGAAACTTGTCCACGGGGATGTTTTCAGACCACCGAGGAAGGGAATGCTTCTCTCTGTTTTCCTTGGGTCTGGAACACAGATCTCCATCATGACTTTTGTCACTCTGTGTATGTAGACCAGTCCTTCGAGCTTTCTTTCTTCAGAGACTATGGGACATCTGTGGGAAAAAAAAGGGAGTTCTCTGAAAAGCTTGGTTTAAAAAAAGAAAATTCTGGTTTTCATTTAGAATTCTTTGCCATGTTTGTAGTTTTATATCGTATATTAGACAGCAAATGAAATAGTTTTAATTGATAAGTTCTTAGAATTTTAATCTTAAAGCATGGAACTCAGACAATTTGAAGTCTTCTTTTATACATTTCTTAAAATTGGTATTACTATTATGAATGTTTTTTTTTATATTGATATTGATTCAGTAGTAAGTGTATATGCAGAATGATAGGCATACAAGTAATGGAGGTGTGCATTTGTTTTTCTATTCCCTTAAAGTACATAATACTTTACACTGAAGTTCTTTTCCCCAATCCTCACAGTTTTTGCATGCCTGGGATTTTTATCACCTGCTAACAGAGGAGCCCTGATGACATGCGCTGTAGTGCTGTGGGTTCTGCTGGGAACTCCAGCAGGTTATGTTGCTGCCAGATTCTACAAGTGTAAGTTGAAGTTATGCATACTGACAAGGACTCTGCTCATTACTCTAAATTATCATCAGCTCTGACAACTGTACAACTTGAGGCTTCTGCTGTGTGCTGTGATGTCTTCTGATTCCATTCTGCTCTTAGCCACCCTACAGATCTCACTGAGCAGCTCGATTGGGTTAAGACCAATTCCCTTGATTGATTCTTCAGGCTTCATTTGTGATATCTGTTTCAGTCTGCTGTGTATTTTAACGTCTGTGTTGTGGCTTGAGAGAATGATTATTTCAGGGATTAATTATGTTCCATCACATTCATATGTTTTAGTGTCTTTAACACTTATCAGCCTTGGAGTTGCTTAAAGCCATGAAAATATCAAGCATATTATATACACTGTATTTATATATTGACTTTTTAAAATAGCAGATGTTCAAAATGACCACATTGTGTTTTACTTTTTAAAAAACACTTAGAGTGATTGGCTCTATTCTTTAAAAAAACCTGCAGATCCTTAAGTCTTTAGTGTTTGCTTTTCTTTTTTGTAAATTTATTATATTTATTTTTCTTAAAAGATTCAACTATAGTAAAACCTCAGTTTAACTTCATTTCGGATTTAACGGACAAAATTCCATCTATAAAATCAGAAATACAAATAAAAAAATAAAATACAGTAGGTAGTTTGGAGAACAGGTTTGGTTTATTCTTAAAATATGATAAATAGAAGAGATAAAGATATAACTGAGTTGTAAAATACATTTAATGTAAAATATTGTGAAAGTACATTTGATTGCATCATGGTTTGACAATACGCTGTGCACAAAAACATGCAAAAATAATAATTCAGTACAGTACACTAAAATGAGACAAATAGGTAAGACGTAATTTAACATGGTGAAAGAAACTATAACGTTTTAAAATTGAGGAATATCAATGGAGTCCTATAGGGGTAGATCATTTGCTTACAGTTGGTGTCCTTTGGTTTTCATATGCTTTAGCAAATTTTATACATTATTATTTATGACACATAAAAAAGAACTTGAATATTTATGATAAAAAGAAGAACAATCTTCATGACTGTGTTAATTACAATTGTAAAATAAGTCAAAAGATCCAGAAAGTGTATATGTATAGTTTATTTGTATTTTTCATAATTATGTTGTTTAATATCTTATCATAATAGTGTTTTTTGGGCTGAATAAACGTCATTTGTGATATAACGATCATTCAGAAATAACGGACACCCCTTCCCCCCCTTAGTCTGTTTAACCAAGGGTATACTGTGTGTTGAATTATATCCCCTAAAAACAACTGCTTTCTTTTTTTCAGTATTTTAAAATTCAAGTCTATTGTGCTTACCAGCTGTTCCTCAAACATTGGTTTGAATGGCTGTGCCAGTCTTAAAGCTGTGAAATTGACCAAACCGACATACTGTACCTTTAAGTTCTTTTAAGTCCAAAATTATCATAATTATTAAGAATAATTAACATATTATTTAGAAGATTTTAATTTGAAAATAATATCAAAATTAGCATTATTAAATGTCATTACAACCTTGTAGCCTAATTTCATTAGACCACAGAAGCTAAGTAAAGCTGTGCCTGATCATTTCTGGGATGAGAGACTGCTAAGGGAAAACCAGTTTACTGCTGTAAGTGATGCTGATGTAGGTTAGACACTTCTCTCTGGTCCAGAATTTCCAGTCCGATGCTACAGGATTATGACAGGGGATACTGGTATACTGTAGGTAGTGCCTTCTTATGGTTAAGACACTTAAACGAAGTCCTGACTTGTTATAGTCATCAAAGAATTCCCATGCTTTGTAAGTTGCTCTGGTTCTGCGTGAAATTTAGGGTGGGCCTCTGCACTGTATGGTCTAGCTCCAGATTTTCTTAAGGACTTGCTGCATGCATACAGTCCAGCTCCTAGTCTTGAATCGGCTTATTCTGGCATTCTTACTCAGCTGTAGGCTAAGTTTTACTCAAGGGCTGATAAAACCTCCAGTTGTCCAGCACCACATTTATAGAACTCATTGGTCAAATCATTTTAGTTTTTCATAACTTTATTAAATACATGTCTGTTTGGGGAGGCTTAATTAACTGAAAGTTGGTTCAAGTGTCATGGGTTCGAACTTGGGTCATCTCGGTAGCCACTTGTGACAGATTTCCCAGCGGAGCTCAGCCAGTTGAATGTAGGATGGAAACAACACCGTGACCCTGTAGCCTCCTCAGCGCTGGCCAATTTGGATTGCAGTCGATGAGAGATGTTCCTCTCCACAAACTGGCAGGGAATCTTCCTAGTAGTGGGCGGTGTTGCCTGTGATGTGTGAAAAGATGAATGGAAGGTGGGTGGGTTGGAGGAGTCCGACTACATTTACTCTTTCTCTCCTGTGTGCAGTCACAGGGTGTGTAACCGCAAACTGAGATGTGAAAAAACACACCATTGCCGGTTAGAAAATCAGGTGGGTGTAAAGGAAAAATGGCAGTTCTAAATCGTCAAAGAGACCTCTGTTGTAAATAAAACATTTAATGTGTAATTTAGTTTTCTTGTTCATTTCACTATCAATTTGCTGTACTCATTTTTCACTTTCCTTTTGCTTCTGTTCTGTCTTGAATGTGCTGTAGTACAGCACTGAGTGACAGCTTTGAGTCACTCACAACACCAAGTTTCTTGAAATATTCTCATAAATAAAATTGTATTACTATTGTGGCTGGTGTTTGACTTCCACATTGGACCTTTCTAAATCTCTTCCTTTATTAAATTGCAGAGGCAGTTACTTTTTTACTCACATAGTGGGGCTGATGGCACATGATCACCCAAATGGGTGCAGCAATTCAGTGGATGATGAAGTGCAGTACAGTAGGTCCACTCATAATGTAGATGGAAGGTACTTTAGGATGGAAAGTACTATACGTATGCAGGTAATTAAAATCTTTCAGGTGCTGTACAGCAATAAAGGTCTGTTTTCAGGTTACTTTTCTTCCTTTCTTGAGCAAAAGCCTGTGTGGTGGAGTGTGGTTTCTAGGTATAATAAGGTTTCTTTGGTGGGTGCAGGTAAGCAGTGTTATTGCTCAGAGAAAAGTAGGATGCCTAGTTTTCCTTAAGCTCTGATGTGATTACAATCAACTGCTCACAATTCATTCGTCTTTGAAATATCATTTAGGCTCAAGATATTTAAAAGTTGTTAGAAATACTGATCATTTTTAGAACTTAGTCAATTTAGTCAAGTTACAATGGCTTATGGCTGATAAGGCAAACCTATATTTTTTCAGTGTTTGGAAATGACTTGGTTTTAGAAACAAATACCTACAAGCTTGTGAAAACAAAAAATATGTTTAGGGAATATTTTGTGATGATGTACCGTGAAAATATATAAAAGCAAATGATTTAGATGTTTTGCACTGTTTTATTCTTTTCGAGCAGTGGTTTTTTTCTCCTTTTAAGCAGAAACACAGTCCTGTGGTGATCTTTTGAAAAGTAGCTTTTTAGCTTTATGCATGTGCAGAGAGAGAAATTCTGTTAATAATGAGAAACACCTGACAATGATTCAGTTAGATTTAATTGGTACCTGTGATGGGTCAGCTAATAAAACACTTCATGTTGCCTGCTCATATGTAGCTTACCTTGTTGTGATCAGGTTTTTGAAAATTCTGATCAGTTCGAGTTAAAGATAACTAAATGACAAGGTAATTATTTTCAAACTAATCTACTTGAATAATGTTTTTACAGTAGTATGAAACACTAGAGGAGGTTTTGAATAAAGTGTTGATGCTTATAACATCTATATCATACTGCTAATTGTGTCTACGTCGACTAAGATAATTGTATAGCAATCTAACTTTCCAATTAATATTTACAAGTTTATGTACGTAGCACTGCCATATAAGTAAATTATTTTGTATTTAATCATTGCAGTCCAATAAATATTGCTTCAATGGAGAACTTTATCCATTTAGTTTTCAGTTAATATGAAAGGTGCAGTGCTCTTTCTGGAAACTTAAAGAGAATTGACTTTCAAATCCCATGTGTTTGTCCGTTGACATTTTTGAAGGGCAAAATATTAAGTGTTTGGTGTATTTTTTTTAACACCTTGTCATTTTTTAAACAGCCTTTGGTGGTGAAAAGTGGAAAACAAATGTTCTGCTGACAGCTTTCTTATGCCCAGGGTGAGTGAATATTTATATAAAAAAGGTGCTAAAATGTGGTGTTGTTTACCATGTACAGTATGATACCCAAAGAAGTCACTGATTTAAGTGATGAAGTGAATGTACAAATTGAGATAATACTGAAATTATCATATATACATGTTTATAAAGGAATAGGTTATTACAGGTTGTTTTTTTCTTTAAGGTGACATCAATGTTGTACTTTTTCTCAGAAGGAGCTGGTGTTGTTTTGGGTTACCATATCTACTGTTAATATTTACAGCATTTACAGCTCCAGGAAGGCATGTAGTTATTAAAGTTAGAGGTAGGGCTTCCTAGTAGCTCAGCTGTTAAAGGTGCTCACTCCCAGTGTCGATTAAGCTATGACATCCAGACATCTTGGATTTAAGATGAGATTGTCGCTAGCTCACCGCGACTCAGATTCCCTTAGCAGCACCGTGGAAAGTGTTCTTGGGATTAGTCGATCATTGCTGTCTTGGCTTCCAGCTAAACAGCAACTTCTACAACTCCACAGGTGCCTGTACATTTGCAGTATCATCAGTGACTCTCTACCAATTGGCACTGAACATATCGGCACTGAACCCCCCCAGAGGTTATAACATATCAGAAGATGAATGACTCAATGGTATTGTTGACTCAAGGTCCTCAAGTCACCTGTCATCACTACCTCATTCTTACCTTGTAGATATCTGGGGCCATTACTTTGAGCTGAGATCTTTAAAGAGACAATTGGTGATTGCAGAATTGAGTGTGTAAATAATAAAACATAGAAGCATCGGCCGTCCATTTCATGATGTAGTTCGTACACAGAAGCACAAAACACCCGAAGAAACGCAGCCAGAATGTTGTGTTTCTTTTTCAGCATGGAATAAACCTTTACTGGTTCCATTTCATAATGTGCACATAAAAATAATGTTTATTGAAGAAATGTCATCATTTGAACATCTCAATCAGTCAAATGTGCTAAGAATAAGGGGAAGATCCCACAAATAAAAAGATATGTATATGGTTTTGATATTTTTATATATGGTTAATGGAATAGGTTTCATTAGGGAGTTAAAAATAAACCTAAAATCTCTAAGTTCTAAACAATTTAATTCATAAATACTGTACACTGATGCACAATGAAAATGGAACAGTCAGGTTTTACATCAATATCTCTTTGGACTAAAATTATACTTTTGGTATATAATTTTATTTCATTTTAATTAGAATTTAGAACTTAGGTTTGTTGTTTGATTAGTGTTATCACTAGGGATTATAAAATACAGAGCCTTGTGATTTGAATAATAAAAAATACTAATTGCTCAGTATTTGGTATCAGACCTGAATTAAAATAAACAGAATCTGTATGGACAGCCATTCAGAAGGTCATGCTTTTAAGTGATGAAAGAACAATCAAAGATATGACCATGCCCCATGGAAGGTCACCTAGTTGCTTTTAGAATTCTTCAACACAGATTGTCTGTGAGACAAGTTGCCAAGCAAATGAGATGTTCTGCTCTAACAAACAGCAGACTAGTGCTGAAAAACCAGGAAATTGGTTCTGTGGAGGACGGAAGGACCTTGAAGGTAGAGGGTCACTACATTGGCCCAGGACCATAATATCTATCTGATCCATGTGTGAAACAGTTTGCTAACTGCAGTGATTACAACAGGAGAAATTCCAGGAAGCAATTACTCACGCAACAGCAAAATGACTTTGGCTCACCATCTGCCTTAAAATAATCTTTATGCTGAAATTGTTCTGGGGTAATGTTGACATCTGAGAGATGCAAACCCTCTTTTGTGAGTCGGGGAACAGTGTGAGATGGTAACATAGAGAGAAGTGGAGTGTTTTATTCAAAGGCAGGAACGTCCTTTTACACAAGGACACCATTGGTACTGACAGAGGGCAACATTACAGCTTGCTTATGCTTTGTCAGTGTCCTTGGGCCAAGTTTTATTTTTTTCAGTAAAATAATCTGGAAGTGTCAATTTCAGAGCGGAACAATGCGAGACACACTGTGATAGGATTACAAAAGTGCTATTTGAAGAAAACAACATTCAGGTCTTTATAGGACCAGCTTTCTCTCCTAACCAATAGAATCTGTGCGCGCCCAAAATGTCCTTGTTATTAACAGGACACAAATGTTACCAACCGGTCACAGCAGATGCAGAAAGAGTGGTGAAACATGCCACTGTTATCCGACCAGAAGCTAATCAGATGTGTGTTAATGCTCCTGCAGGACTTGCCGGATAACTTCATAATGTTTTTGTTTTGATAGTGTCACGTTTCAACTTCAAGTGAGCTGTTGACATTTTCTGTGATTTTGTTTTAATATCTACAGTATGTTTTAAGTATGAGTTTAAATGAGTAAATCCCGAGGCTGGCACTTTTTGTGCATCAGTGTTTTTAAAACAAGTTCTAAAACGAGATAATCTCAGTTATAACTCAGTTAAATTGCTAATTATTTTGTAAGGATAATTGTGTAACTTTATCTTCTAGGATTGTGTTTGCTGATTTCTTTTTGATGAACTTGATCTTATGGGGAGAGGGCTCTTCAGCGGCCATACCATTTGGCACACTGGTTGCCATCTTGGCTTTGTGGTTCTGCATATCTGTGCCACTGACATTCATTGGCGCTTACTTTGGCTTTAAGAAGAATGTAAGTACCCAGTGGTGTGCTGTTTATAGCAGTGATAAAGATCCAGCTTTAGTGTGGTATTTAGTTCGCTGGTTATATTTCATGTATGAGAAGGTCTATGTGTCTCCATAGCAAGTTAGTACTATAGCTGCATCTCTGCTTGATGAAACTGTTTTTTTTATTTATTCATTTTCACATAGGTATATCTTAACTGGTGGCTATTTTTCTCCATTAATACTCATAGGTTTGGTATGGGTATTATCCAATTACTGATTGACCCAGCTACCACTGACTCAAACGTCATACCTGCATAAATGGAGGGAATAATAAAAAAAAAACATACATGCAATATCTAAAATTTCTTTTTAACACCTGGAGCCCATTGCAAGAACTGAGAGGTTTCGTATATTCACGGGCCTAATACATTTGTGGCTAATTTAACCAGAATCTTGCAGGTACCCAGTTACCAACAGGGGTTTTCAAACCGCATCACACCCTGCAAAAACCAAGGTGCTCGGGAGTACCCAGCCACAGTTAGTGACTTATCCTAAATTTCATCCAGCAGCCTCACGGATGAAAGACACATCCTTTATTCCAAATGGAGATATTAAAAATAGAACCACTCTAAAGCCATTTTTTAATTCATCAAAACTCCAATGTCATGTATTTTCTTCCATACCCCCCTGTCAAAGTTTATTCATGGAATAAAAACGTTTTGCTTATAAATTTAATTTTTAGGCAATTGAGCATCCAGTGCGCACCAACCAGATTCCACGTCAAATTCCGGAACAGTCCTTTTACACTAAACCCCTCCCTGGAATCATCATGGGAGGAATTCTACCCTTTGGGTGCATTTTCATCCAGCTTTTCTTCATTCTCAACAGCATCTGGTGAGTACAATAGTAGAATTTAAAAAATGTATATACTTAATCAATGGTGTGCTGATGCCGAAGGGGGTATAATGTATTTTCCTCACTGTAACAAATAGTGATTTCTGTGATTTGTCAGATGTCATTACTTGTTTAGGTTATGACTGATTTGTTAGTTCATTAACCACAGTATTGATTAGCCTGTCTTCTTAAAGTTTTTAAAGTAATGTTTTTCTGCTTTTATTATAGTCAGAGCACTTTTCTGATTTTTTTTTAATCATATCTTAAATTTACATTGTATTCTGCACTTTTTAAATTTTACTTTCAGGTCCCATCAAATGTATTACATGTTTGGGTTTCTGTTCCTGGTCTTTATCATTCTGGTGATCACATGTTCTGAAGCCACAATCCTCTTGTGTTACTTCCACCTTTGTGCAGAGGTGAGCATTTGATGAAGGGCAGAAAAGCTTTGCATCATAATTCCTGTGAGGATCCTCCCTGTTGCCTGTATAGGGATGCAAGAAGTCAAGGTGCAGTTCAGTGCAGGTTTGGATTACTGTAAATTAATCGGATGACCATCCAGAAACCAGATCAAACTCAGTCTAATTTGCTCTGAAACAGTCATTTTTAAAAAGTCAAGGCCTTTTTATAATCCAAGCACAGCCCTGGTCAACCTTTTGAGTTCCCATACATTCATGTTTAGGACAAAGAGATATATTTAAACACAGAATGCAAATGGGCTTACATGAGAGGCGAATATTTTACAAACCACCACAGAATGTCCAACTATTAGAGAATGTTACATTATTTTAGCCATCGATAGACTATAGATTACTATAAGTCATCTTTAGTTTATGAACAGGAATACCGCCTGCTTTCTTAACATTTAGAAACTGTCTAACACTTCATAGTAGTTCTGACAGTTGTATATTCTGTCACTGTGGGCTGGAAGGTATGGAAAAAGAATTTGGAATAACTGCCTAACTGGTATTAGCCCTGTTCTTCAAAGTCCACTTCATACCTGGACCTGTTCCTATATATTTTGTCTTTGCAAAAGAGAATATATGGGGAAAGAAGGAAGAAATAAAAAGTCTAGCCCGTTTACATGCTAGTAGATAATTCATCTGAGGATCTCATCCAGCCCTTTTTTACAAAAAGAAAGGTTTCAAATTTGACAGCATGGCTGGATAGCTTGTTCCAGGTCCCCAGATACACTGGCAGTAACTCAGAACAGTTAATTTAGTTAAGAATGTTTTTTTTGCTTAAAAGTATAAAATGTTTTTTGTTGTTGTTGAGAGTTTTTGAACAGTTGTATTTTTTCTTTTTATAAACAGTATATTTAAGTTAAAGTAGCACTAAAGTGTGTTGTGAGATTCACTGTTTTTTTTAACAGAAATCTGTTTTTCCCTCTGCAGGATTACCACTGGCAGTGGCGATCTTTCCTGACCAGTGGGTTTACTGCATTGTACTTTCTAGTATATGCCGTGCATTACTTCTTTTCAAAGCTTCAAATTACAGGATTAGCAAGCACAATTTTGTACTTTGGATACACTATGATAATGGCTTTGATCTTTTTCCTTTTTACAGGTGAGTGTCTAGAACTTTTTTTTTTAGTCATACTGGCACTCAATTGCTCAAGCAATTTTATCATGTGAATGCCTTTATTGTACCATTCCATTTTTAAAGTATCCTTTGGTCTGCTCATTAATACAGTTAAATGAAGTGAGAAAGTAAAGAAATGAATCAAGTGAACAGGAAACAAAATGGGACCTGCTTCCTCTGATTTAGTTAATGTGCAGACCGCAGACATGCAGGGTCAGAGATGGTTGGGTCAGCAACTGTGCCAGCTCCTACCTACTTAAACCGTTTCTTCTACACACTCCACGCTGCTACAACTTAATTGGCTCCGACAGTCTTGGGTCTTGTGTTTGTACTTATATTGCTGTAGTAGAATGTGCTTCAAATTGACAGGTAGCACAGAACCGTTTTTGGAATGCTCCATTGGCAAATACACGTACAATATTCATTTTATATGGAACTGAAAATTGGTTTTGAAGCTTTTAAAAGTCTAGAGTTTAGTGTATTTTCTTAAATGGAATATAATGTCTTGTTTATAGAAGTCATGCTCTGAGTGTCTTTGTTGAACTTGGAAGAAATGTTGGTCTTAACCCTTTTAATGCACCCCCGATTGTGTCCTTTGTAGGTGTTAAGACGTGAATAAGTCTGTGCTTAGTTTTTTTTGTGAAAATGATCTTTTTTCGTGTACAAAAAATAGTCCCTTTGTTTTTAACCTATTTTCATTGTAAACAAATTCAGGTCAATCCAAATGCCATGAAAGTTTTAAATCAAAGTAACATGCTTTGTTTAAGACAGAAGGACCAATCTAGGCTAAATGTATGTTTTTCTCTACTCCAATCAAAGTGGTTAATGCAGTAGTCTTACCTTAAACACTTTAAAGTCAGGAACTCTTTATTAAATATGAACAGAGGTAAAATAAGGGCTCAAGGACCTACACTAAACAGCCCATTAACATGTGTTTTGCTGACAAACTAAGATACCTTAGAAGCGGCCTCTATACTATAAAAGCACATATCTGAATTGTTGCTTAACCTATCCAGTGACCCTGCCACATGTAATCTCTGTCCTGCAGCAAAGATCCAGTATTGCACAATCCCTCAAAGGCACGATACACTGCCTGTCAAAAAGGGGCAGAGAATGAAAAGGGAAATCGGCGATTCTTGTATCAAAAAATACTTTGCCAGTGCTTACTCATCTGTTAAAAACAGAGTGATTTGGAAAGTTTGCATTGGAGGCTTCTTGACGGTGCCCTGCTGCTCTGTCAGTGCAGCACATGCTGTAGGCACTGGCATCCCTATTGCCTTCCAGGTCATTGGTCAGACTCAGCAGGGAAAGTGCCGTGAGCTTCATGACAAATCTCTGATTCACAGCTGGATCTGTAACAAGGTATCATAGTAAATGAGTCGGTAAAACATCACCGGTTTGAAGAGCGTGAAAAATTGTCATGATATCATTTGTAATTCCTGATCTGAATTACTGGTGGACAGGCCTAGTAATGAACGTTTGTTGCATTACTACACACTGGAGTGCAATGAGTGAAATCTTATTATATAAGAAGGCAATAATTAACCAATTTTGGCTTTGTGATTTTGGTTATAGATGTATCTTTCGACATAAGGTGTTCATGACATTCTGTCTTGCTTTCGATTTTTGATTAATTATTGATTACAATTAAAACGAATGATTTTTCTTATTCAGGTAGGTTTCTGGTGTTTGTTTCTTCATCAAATATTCAAGACTAAGATGGGTTTATTACAAATATTTGGTTATTGCAGGTTTCTAAAAAGGAATGGTGTTTTTTTAGATGGCTTTGCTTTTTATCCTACAGGGTCTTGGTAGCATTGTGATTTTAATTCTGTCAACATTTTCTTTTCTTTTTTTTATTTGGTGTGGGATGACTGCCCTGTAGAATTCTGTACTTTCAAATCAAAATGTGTGAAGGATACTCAATAGAGTGCCTACAAGACACTCATTTTGCAAACTAATTTAGAAATTTTTAACTTTTTCATAATGTATCGATGTGCTAAAAATTGATTATTCATTTTTTCCCCACCAGGAACAATTGGATTCTTTGCCTGTTTTTGGTTTGTGACCAAAATCTACAGTGTGGTGAAAGTGGACTAAGATGACTACAGTTGGCTCTATTTTTCCGGCTTGGATTCTTCAGGAATGGTGTACATTTGACTGAAAGTCTTGGCATTGATGTGATTTAATAACAATCATAATAAAATCTAACATTTGTAAATTTGTTTCAAATGCTAATTGATTTCCATTCCTATATTACCTTAGAGGTACAAAACATTATGAGTTGAGTTGCATATGAAATGCCTTATCACTACAGTTAAGACAGAAAAAAAGAACTGGAGTTTGTAAATATTGCAATTACTTTATACTACCAGAATTTAACCACCCAGCAAACATTAGGCTTAAGCATTTAACATACATACTGTAGGCACTGAAAAGTTGCAGTCCAATAAATATAACTGTAAATAACATTTTGTAATACTGAAGGAAAGATTAATCATGATATGTGCGTAAAAGTAAGTTTAGATCTGTTAGTAACAAGAGTTTTTGATTTCTTTTTTTACCCTTGTTTTTGTGTGTTGAAATGGTGCAGTCTTTAAGTTGTTAATCTGTTGAGCTTTTTCGTTTAACTTATATATTTGCCTTTACACTTTGTGCCTCTTCGATATTTTGATTTGTAAATTTATAGTAATAAATGGTGTACAAATGTTTGCATTGTGTAACTAGGGTCTTTTTTATTTTTTTAAGATGTTAGAATTGCATTTATATCTGCTTTTTAGTATACACATTTTTTTAAACAGAATAAGCAGTGATATTCGAATAACCTGTTCTACATCTGTTTTATTCAGTTATAAGGAAAACAATTTCCACAAATTGCTTGTTGTGCATTCTGTATAGCTTATCAGAGTGGGGAACAGTGACAATGTGCAAGGTGCAAAAGAACATGTTAATTCCACACAGAAAAAGCAGAAAGAAATTAAACATTTTGGCTGTTCACACCTTCATTTAACCCATGAAGACAGCTCACCAAGGTGAAAGGTGTTTCTGTTTTCTACATTTCAAAGTGGAATTATGCTCTGCATATTTTGTATACCATGTTGCGGTGTGCTGTAGTGTAGTGAAGAGACTACAAATACTACAAATGAGAGTCCTGCAGCTCCCTCAAATCAACAAACAATACAGGACCCATTTAAATGTCATCATTTCATAACAAATACAGTGGCATTTGTGTGATGGAATACCCATTGGGTAGCACAACTTGTAACGTGCAGAAGTCCCATCAGATTTGTCATAGTCGTGTATTTGATCCATTCAGTATGCAGACTTATAGAACCTGTTTGCAAAAAGAAAAGATTATCCTTATTACATCATAACAAGTAGAATCTGATAACACATAGAATCAAGAGGGGGCCGTTCAGATCATCCAACTCATTTGGTTTTCCAGTAGGAAATTGATCTAAGGATCACATCCGGCCATTTCCTTAAGGAAGCCAGGGTACCAGAGTACGAGCTGTCACAAGCACAACTGAGTTGCTTACTCCAACACTTCTTTGTATAAAGAATGTTTCCTGTTCTCTGTATTAAATGTGCTTCACCTTAGTTTCCATGTGTGTTGTTTCTAAAGTAATACTCTGGGTAGACTATCAGTGCCTGTGAGGAAGTTGAATACTTGAATCAGGTAATTGCCCTAATTTTGTTCTTTGCTTAAGATTTAAAAGATTCTCTTCTTCCAGTCAGTTAATAATAATAATTGCTTACACTTATATAACGCTTTGCTGGACACTTCACTCAAAGCACTTTACAGGTAATGGGGACTCCCCTCCACCACCACCAATGTGCAGCACCCACCTGGATGATTCAACAGTGGCCATAGTGCACCAGAACGCTCACAACACATCAGCTATCAGTGGGGAGGAGAACAGAGTAATGAAGTCAATTCATAGAGGGGGGTTATTAGGAGGCCATGATTGGTATGGGCCAATGGGAATTTTGGCCAGGATGCCTACAGGGTTACACCCCTACTCTTTTCGAGAGAAGCCCTGGGATTCTTAATGACCACAGAGAGTCATGACCTCGATTTTACGTCTCATCCGAAGGACAGCACCTGTTTACTGTATAGTGTCCCCATTACTATACTGGGGCATTAGGACCAACATAGACTGCGGGGTGAGCACCCCCTGGTGGCCCCACTAACACCTCTTCCAGTAGCAACCTTAGTTTTTCCCAGGAGGTCTCTCATCCAGGTATTGACCAGGCTCACACCTGCTTAGGTTCAGTGGGTTGCCAGTTGTGAGCTGCAGAGTGATATGGCTGCTGGCTTTCATGTATATCATATCATCAGTATATCATAATCATCTTGTAAACAAGATGAATACATAATATGTATCTTAAAACTGTTCAGGTAAGTATGTAAATGCATTTTTTTCTGCTTTTTTGTCCATGTTAAAATCAGAGCCATTTAATAACATAAATGAGAAACATACAGTAATAGTTCAAGCTGATAGTGTTGTATACCTTGGTCAAGCATTCAGAACTTTGCTTTCTGTGCCTTCTTCATACCTCTTTACTGAACTTTCTGAAGTTTCTAATCTTTGTATGAGTGACTAGAGTTCTCTAGGATATAAATATGGGTCTTCAGGCCATTATTCCAGTTATCATCACTTTAACTGTTCTCCAGCACTCCCGGTACCTCTGCTTTAGCAACAACCCTGTGGGCTGTTATAGAGCGTTCTAACTTTTATCCATATACTGTAGTTAAGACAGCTTCTCTCAAACAGAACCAAACAAAGAGCCAAGCAAATAAATGTTTTTTAACCTACATGTAATTGCATTCCAGGAGTTTCTCTTTGTCATCTGAAATATTAATAGAAGAGGAGTTGGAAAAAGATCTATGAAGAAAATACTTTTATTTTTATGTTTGTTTGGAACTAAAGTCTTAACACAAAACTAAAAATCTGAGAAAAGTCAGTACAATTACCAAAGAAACATGGATACATGGCAAAAATGTTTCTCTATGGGGAAGTTCAGCTCATGCTATTTTGAATAGCATTTTTCATTATTTTGAAGCACAGCTTTCCTCCTTGGCTAGAATATATTCTGGCTTTTTTCTTGGACTCAGTGGTTCCTAGGGGAAACCAGTAGAGAAGTTGAGCATCTTGCTGTGAGCCAAATAAAGTGTGCCAAGTGCAATCAAAGCCAGTTAGGAGATGCTGTGTCTGGTGAAAAGAAGCAAAGCTTTGGAGAACTATAACAAGTTTCCAAGGAACCCATGGAAGGAATTTTTTAATACATGAACTTAACAGGTGTGCCGGTTCACCACCTCATTTTGAATTTATTCATTATTCATTGAGTTATTGAACTATGGGATACTTAATGACAAGGAATATCATTAAAAATATAAAACACAAGGACACTGACAGTACATTCTTCCATTTTCTAACGGCTTCATCCAGTTCAGGGTTACAGGGGAGCAGGAGCCTATCCCAGCATGCAACGGGCAAAAGGCAAGATACAACCTGGATGGGAAGCCAACAGTTATAATACAGTATCAGTATGTTAACACAGGTTTATAGTACTGTCAAAAGAAATTGCTTAGAATTGATTTCTATCTTTTGTAATTTGTGATTTTTGATCGACTTTATATGAAAACCACATTTTCACACCTTTACAATATTTTTATTGTTCAATCACCATTTAGGTGTGTTAAGAAGCTTTCAGTGCATAGTCATTGGCATTACTAATTTCTAAATTATTATTAAAAAAAGCATGCCTGTGAGTTACATGAGCTAATTTAAAATCTGAGCATTTAAAAATATAGTTACTATTGGGAAACAACTCTGTTTTCACCTTTACAGAAGACTTTTCAACAAAACTAGAGTATAAGGTGAACCAATCTGTTCTTATTAATGTATTTGCTGATTTTACTGATATTAAAAATGCATGTATTCTAAAAACGCATCTTTGGAAAACAGCTAAATTAAACATTTTTTTTAGATGTGATTAGGGACAAGTAGCTCAAGTCTTTGACAGCTGGAGTTCTGCAGATTTTACAACTGCAAACTGATAATAACCTTAGAATCGTATTAATCGATTTATTATCCAAATAATTCGTTCAATTAAATAATATCAGAGGTACCCCTGGGGGACTGGAGTTGCTCATCTGTGAAGTAATTCATATGGTAAAATATCAATACGATCACCCAACATATTGGATTATTTGCTTAGAATCTAAGTTTATATGATGATCAGACTTTCAATGTAAATTTAATATTCCAAATTGCAAATAACACCTCTTAATTTACGTATTTACGTACAGGTGAACGATATCACAAAATAATAATGAAGCATTTGTCTGGGTGTGATTTTCTCTCTCTCCTTATGCCAGCATTGATTACTAAATGAATTCAATAAGTGATAAACAGTCATCACAACAGCAAACGAGAGCAGATCTTCACCTAACTCACTGGCCAGTAGATAAGTAGCCTAATATTTCACTGGGCTGCATATTTCTGGTCTGCGTTACCACCAACTCTGACATTTCAGAAGCCCCTGCTGGTTTCATCATGGCAAATTCTGCCTGTCATTTGTTAGCTGCACTTATTTACATGGATTGCGATGATGGCGGTATTAATGAATCGCCACTGATGTAAAACGAGCTCTCCCGGAGTGCGTCTTCTATCTAACAGGCATGGGTTGGTACCTCGGGTGCCCCGTGCGCTCTGTCACCAGCGGCTGCCTGACTGAAGATGACCTGGCTGGGGAAACACGTGTCTGTTCAAGAGAGAGAGACAGAAAAGCCAGAAGCATTTTTCGTTGGTGTCACGCAAAGTGGAAGACTCTAAATTACAACCTATGACAACTGGGTCATACGCCAGGATGTGCTAGATTAAAATTAGTAATAACTAAAAAAATAATTAAGCCTTTCAAAGGTGAGCAAATCCTTAATTTATGCCCTAAGGAAGGACAAAATTAGAAAAGAGAAAATTAATTTGGACCTGTAACCTACTACTGTAGTCTATCTTTATGAAATGGCTTTATTGGACCGCGCTAATAGGATGTTGAATATTTTCACTATTTTTAATACAAATATTTACATTTAACCGTATACTCTGAAATTAAAATAGATGATGAATTTGTTACACTAGTAGGGTCTACTTGTCTATATACTGTACCTGTTTAGTACAAATTAAATATTGCGTGATGAAGATCTTATAATACATTCTTTATTCCTCAGACATATTTTGTTGTTCATCTATGCTGGTGAGCAGTTAGAAACCTTTGACCAAGATGACAATAGACTCACTGTAACTTTAAAATTCATTTCGCAATTTGACTGAACAATCCCCCTGGACAGTCCACTGTCCAATCACAGTTCTCAGATTCTGAAGCAGAGACCAATTGGATCGTACAGCTCGGATACACACGTGGGAAGATGGCGTTGTCAGTGAGCCGAGTGTTATGGAGACACGCAGTTCAGTAAGTTTGAGTTTCTTGATGTAGTAATACAAACAATTTTCATGATTTCAAGGCTTTGAATATTTGTTTCTCTGAGCCAGTGCCCCCCTTATCAAAATCTCTTTTATATTTGCGTGCTTGTTCAGAGCAAGGTCATATCTGCCTGTGTTTATGACATTTAAAGGAGACAGCTGTAAATACGAAAATAGTACTGTAAATAAAAATAATCAAATTGTAGCATTTGTGTAATGGGTTATTTGCAGCATTAGCAAGAA